CGGGAAGTTTTGGGAGGTTAAGTAAGCTCAGGAAGATCAAGGCCTCCTTCAACAGCTTGTGAAACCACTTCAAAATGCAGAGTCTGTAAAAAGGCTCCATTTTTAAAAAAATGGCTCAGAGTACGAAAGTCGGCTGAAATGTGATTACCAAAATATACTTACAGCCATTGTGAGACAAAGTTTCAGAACACAAGCAAAATTAAAAGATTGAATAATTAGGAAAATATTTATTTGTGGTTTTCCTTGTACCAATAAAACAGTGGGGAAGCAGTTGCAATTCATTCTGTGGATAATAAAATACTATACAACCCAACAAATGCTATTGTGATCACTTATATTGTTCTGTCTTATGACACATGATTAAAACTATGCGTTGAAAAATTGTCACGCCGAGGTTTTTTTTTCCCCTTCAGGAAAATCATATTGCAGCATAAGGAAAAGTCCTTGTTCTACCTTCCTGTTCTCTAACAAAAATAAAAAAGCAGCCGGTGAAAGATAATTAGAAATAGCGTTACCTCAGCCTGAATGTATTCATGGTAGTGCAATGAATTCTGCTTGAAATACCCAGTGATGAATGATGTTAACAAGCTGTGTCAGACATGCTTGCCGTATGCTGCAGGCTCAGGATGGAAACATTTACTTGTGCATGAGAGATGAGGAGAGGCATAGAAATGGTGTTCATTTAGGCCAAAGTTGGGGAAACTTTGGCCCTCCAAATGTTGCTGGACTCGAGCTCCCACCAGCCCTAGCCAGTATGGCCAATGGCTAGGGATGATGGGACTTGCAGTCTAGAAACATCTGCGGAGCCAAAGGTCCACACACAGTGTGGTGAAGACTGTGGCTGCTCTGTCACTTTACAGATTTGCTATGAAACATGTCACAGCTGCTTCTGGCCTAGATGGCCCATGCAGCTCGGGCATATTTGCAGGAGCTTCAGATAATTCTCTGATGGCCTGCTGATAACAGTTCATAGGCTGCCAGTTTGCCATTGCTAGTCTGTAGACGGATAGTTAACCTTAAAATTACACACTGGGCATTTATGCTGAAGAGGTTGGTTGGGGTCCTGATTCAGAGACTTCTCATGTGCAGGAAGAATCCTGTAAAACACACACACACACACACACACACACACACACACACACCACTATCAGGTTTTTATATTACCGATCATGTGTTCAGCAGGGAGAAGAAGAGGGTGCTCCTCCGATAGGAATATTCAGTGACTCAAAGTTAGTTTCGACTGAAATGCCATTTGCCCAAGCTGGCGCATTACGTGACCCATGAGAGCCACTTTTAATACCATGCAACATGCCACGTGCAACATTTTGTACTTTTCCAGCAGCACTTAAAGTAAACTTTTTACTTTTTTCATACTTAAAATTGACATGTAGAGCTACAGGTGTCGAAATGTGGAGCTACTGAACTGTTGGTGTGTTGCTGTTCTTTTAAAGTAGCCTGTAGATGTGACAAATGGAAATTGTCTGCGTGTGATGGCTATCTTCAAAGAAATGTTTGAAATCAAAAAGAATTTCTAGAGCTTCCATTGTCTTAGAAAATAGTGTGGGATCCAGATTTATTCTGTCTTCCTGTTTCTGCTGTTACCTAAGTTGACTTTTGAACATTATGACTCAGAGATCCGTGCGGATGTAATGCGTGTGGATTATTAAACAAAACTATAGTTCAGTATGAAGGGCAAGGGGTTTTTTTAAAGGCAGTTTCTATACTGCATATTACTATCATTTTCTGTTCATTTTTCTGCAAATGTAACACCATTGTTCTATAACATAATAATAATAATAATAATAATAATAATAATAATAATAATAATAAATTTATTTATACCCCGCCCTTCCCGGTTCAGAAACCAGACACTCAGGGCGGCTAACAACAAATTTAAAACACTTAACTGTAATACAACATAGAAGCAGCATAAAATACAGTATAAAAACATAAATAACAATAAAATTCAAAGGTCAAAAATCATTTTGGGGAAAATCCATCCAATAAGCATTAGATAGTCACCAGGGCTAGCTGGCTGAATTAGTCCAACTTGGGCCAGCGAGGAGGCCAGGGGAGAATTAGCTGTGGGGTTCTCAGAGCAGGTAATCTTCATAAAGGGAGAGGAGGAGGGAAGAGAAGGGAAATAAAAGATCAGGCTGAATTCAAATTAAAGGCCAGGAAAAAGATGAAGCTACAACTAACACAATTATCTCCACACAGCCAGCAGGATTTCTCCTTTATGTCACTGAAAACCACTCCCCCCAATGGCCCTGCTCAAATGCTTTTGATACAGAAAGGAACTTCAGAAACTATGGAAGAGCAGCTCAAAGTGGAGCAATGACTCTCTGGGATATAGCGGCGTTTCTGTGCATCTAAACTCCTTCTCTGGACTGTAGTACAAGACTCCAGTTCTTGGCAGATAATGAGGTGTTATGTAAACCTGAGAAGCTGAACTGGTTTTCTTTGCCAAGATGGGAATCTTCCCCATTTAGCTGGAGGGTTAAATGCAGGGAAGACCTTGGGGAAGGTTTTCTTGGTTCACCTTGGTTTTCCCTAGGCCTTAGGTCAGAGGAAAGGGAGGGAGAAAGGGAAGGTGTGCTGTGTATTTATGCATATAGGAGTGTGGTGCTTTAAGGAAATGTTTGTTTTAATGCAAAGGTTAACAGTTTAATGTTTGGAATAAATAAACTGAATATCATTTGTAGATTTCTGGTTTCAGAGATGTTAGCAAAATGTATATATGTTATGCTCCTTAAAAAAACAAACACTTCTTAAAAATCTGTCAGCACATTCTGTTCCTGGTTTTTATAGTTTCTACTCAAATCTTGAAACAAGAATAGTATAGAATGTAGCTCTTAAAAGTTCTAGACTATATTGTTGCTATTAGCATATACCTACAAACAAAAGATCGCCTAGTGTCATCTAGTTGATTGATGGGACCTGAATTGTGGAGGTGTCAGTGCTGCATGACCAGCACAGGTGGAATTATATCGTCTACTACTGCAATGGAATATCGAGTAAAGTAGGGAAAATCACAAAGATGTGGTCATTTTCCTGCTCCCCTGCTTATTGTACAGAAGGCTTAAGAGCATGTCCCATTGCCTGCCAGCTTGGCTATTCTCCCTTTCTTCTCTGCATCTTAATATTCCAGACATTTCTACTACAAGTGTTATTGGCTTATTCATTTTGGGTGGGGTTGTTTTTATATTTTATTTTATTATTTTTTTATTTTATTTTGGTGCTTACCTTTAAAGCCCTAAACGGCCTTGGCCCAGTATACCCGAAGGGGCGTCTCCACCCTCATCGTTCTGCCCGGACACTGAGGTCCAGCGCCGAGGGCCTTCTGGCGGTTCCCTCGCTGTGAAAAGCCAGGTTACAGGGAACCAGGCAGAGGGCCTTCTCGGTAGTGGCACCCGCCCTGTTGAACACCCTCCCACCAGATGTTAAAGAGAAAAACAACTACCAGACTTTTAGAAGACCTCTGAAGGCAGCCCTGTTTAGGGAAGCTTTTAATGTTTAATAGACTAGTGTATTTTAATATTCTGTTGGAAGCCACCCAGAGTGGCTGGGGAAACCCAGCCAGATGGGCGGGTATTTATTTATTTATTTAGTTGGTTGGTTGGTTGGTTGGTGTTTTTATTTTGATTATATATTTTTTGGTTTTATATTTTGATTTTGTTCTGTGAACCGCCTTGAGATCTCTGGGTATAGGGCGGTATATAAGTTCAAATTATTATTATTATTATTATTATTATTATTATTCATGCTTGACTTAAATATCAGGTGTGCTCAGTAGACATTGTACAACTGCAGTGCTGATTTATTGTTTCAGGGGTGTATTGAAAGGGCTACTGTAATTTGTTGAAAACTGTTTTTAATATTGGTTGTGGGTTTCACCCCCCAAATTGCTATGCCTGCCCTGGGGCTTTATGGTGCAGGGTGGGCAATAAATCAAATGATGATTGTTACTACTACTACTACTACTATTTTATTGATCAAATAATTGATGAAAGTGTAACAGAACAGAGAATTTTCACTGTTAGACCTTGTGTGATATAGTCAGTTTACGCACTGCATAAATATGAAGCGTATCCAACAAAGATATGCAAGGAATTCTGCATAGTGGAATTTCTCCTTCCTCTGCATCTCCTCAAATCTGTTGGGGGGGGGCGTTCCACAACCCTCTGGAGCAGGTTACTCTGCACTGATAATTGCAGCTATAGACGAGAAATAGTTTCTGCATTTTTTCATTGGATCACTGGAGTTTCAGAGAATGCCAGAAACCTATATAGTGAAGGACAAACAAATTGCTTATTTGTTAAGGGTAACTCTATGAGGTAATCACCTTATGCTATGTTGCGTAATCATATTATGCAATTTTTGCATACCGTGATAGCAACGCATTTCTTGTGTTTTCAGTGAGTTGTGATGAGAGTCTAAATGCTGGTAGCATTTTGCTTCTGGCTGCCAAGCAGTAGGCGAATGACAGTACAAACCTTTGATGGTTATTGGCTGATGTCTATTCTGAAAGAAAACTGAATGCAGTTCACGTGCATGTTTGTTCATGCTGCAAAGGCTTGCTTTCCTGCTGCCCTCTAATATAAGCTGCCGTGCCCTTGAACAATGAAATGGGAGTATGAAACATTTTTCTGTTCCATATTTAATTCGTGGCATTATATTGTGATTCAACATGCATCTCCCCCCCCCCAATCTCAGAGGGTAATGATGGCTCACTTGCTCTTAGTCATATTAGGAATTAAGGCTGCATTCCCATTCTGGAAAAATCCATGAGAGTTTTGTCATTGACATGAATGGGAACAGGATTGTAGCATAAGTGGGTGGTTTTTTTACCTAGACCATCCTCACATGGCACCTTCCATGATAGACCACATCTTCCATCTTTCCTGAAGATGCCTGCTTTGTTTTGTCCCCCTTTCTCATACAATAATAGAAGGGTCATCTAGTCCAACCCTCTGCAATGCAGGATTCCTGCTCACAGCTGTCCCTGGGTAGGCTTGAACCACCAGCCTTCTGGTTAACAGGCAAACACACTAACCCATTGCACCACAGGGGCACCCACCATTCGTTGATTTGCTCTAATTGGGTTGTTTTGGTTGAAATTTGGCGCAATGATTTTTATTTCATTTCATCTATTTATTTTAAAGGATTTCATACCACACCTTTCTCGATGAACACAGTGTTCAAGGCTTTTGCAGTCAAAGCTTTAGCTGGAAGGGCCAATGTGGACTGAAGTTAAACATCCAAGGTCAGCTGGAGTATAGGATGTGTTCTGATTCTTGGGCCAGGCATCTCCTTATGACATGAAGAGTGGCAGAAGTCTTACATGTCTGAGACAACTGTGAGCAAACTGCTCTCTCTGGTTGTGAGGATTGAAGCAACTACAGTGGTACCTTGGGTTACAGACGCTTCAGGTTACAGACTCCACTAACCCAGAAATAGTACCTCAGGTTAAGAACTTTGCTTCAGGATGAGAACAGAAATTGCACGGTGGCAGTGCAGCAGCAGCGGGAGGCCCCATTAGCTAAAGTGGTACCTCAGGTTAAGAACATTTTCAGGTTAAGAACGGACCTCCAGAACAAATTAAGTTCTTAACCTGAGGTACCACTGTAATAGCAGCTGGTTGCTTTACACCATCTTTTTTTGAAGGAAGGGGTGCAAGTAAGTTCACCTGGGCAGGGTGATGTGGCTGGATGAACCAGACTGGTGGCCAATCAGTTACAGAAGGCTGTGATCTTCCTTCCATTGTGGCCTGAATGAAATGTAGGCACTCCTTAAGAAAGCTGTGGACTTGAAACCTCATGTGCTTGAGTCTGCTTTTAAAGGAAGTACTTTTTGCCAGACATCATTCCAGCTGCTCTGTGACATACAAGTATGTACACGTATGAGGGCTGGTAGTTGCTTAATTGGTAGAAGCTGATTAAACTTCTGAGTAAGTGTAAGGCACGTGCCTGAAGTAGGGCACAATATCGCCAAGTACTTAAAAGTCCCAGTGATTTCTGCCATACTGAAACCAACAGAACATACAAGAGCTTTTAAATATACATTTCATTTGTGCGCCAGTGTTTGACCCATAAGACCTATGGCTGGATTGGTCTAATTGGTCTAACTATGGTTTCTTTTTGCATAGGACTGCACCCAGCGGCTGTATGTGCAGGGCCCTATGACAGGCAAAGCTCTTCAAGGACACTGGCTCCATTTCCTGCTTATGCAGGTGTGCCTGCCTTGCTGGACCACATCCAGTTATTTTAGAAACTGGATATTAATAATGAATTGACTTAACTGGGACTGAATTACATCACAATTCGGGGAGGGGGGAGCAACTTAGCACCAGTAATAGAGGTTTGTATTTGACTTTCCTAGAGTTCCCACATTGCATCAATTTTTGATGGAATTAATGAAACGTGGCTAATTTTTAATGAAATTATCAGTGGGTGGATGGGAACCTCCGGCCAAAACTAATATACTTTTTGCCTGCTGCTCTTTGTCTTGGTCACTTTTGGACATATTGTCAGGAAGTAGTACAAAGTCCTCTTTTTGGATGGAAAACATTATTAAGGACATTTGCCTTTCTACAGTCACAGGAGAACTACTGGAATATCTTTTTCATTACAATTGTTGGCAGAAACTTTTTAGATTGAATTAATGATGAGGAGGAATTCCAACTTGCTAAAAAACATAGACACTGGATTATACTAGTTTAAAACACTGGTATAATAATAATAATAATAATAATAATAATAATAATAATAATGGCTTATTTATTTATCTCATTTTAAAACCACACTTCCTCAATCAAGTGATCCTAGGGCAAGGTACATCAAATATAAAATCAACAGAACCATTCCAGTATAACAATTGTTTCTCCTTATTACAGGAGTCAGTGGCCTGATATATCAAGATCCCTCATTATTAAAATCTTGGATAAAGAATCACAATTGTTTGTTAACATTGATTCCTCACTGATTTAAAACTAAATTGCTTGTAAATGTGATGGAAGTTTGTAGCCTTACTTGAAGTAAGTTAATTCATGAGGGATGCCTGCTTTAAGGTATATATGTATAGGATCAGGCTGATGTTAGTATACATATGGAGCATATTAATTCCTCTTGAAAATCACATTGTGTGATTCTAGTCTCACTCCAGTTTTGCGTCAGGGTAATTTCACTGTCACTAAAGTATCCGTGTTTCAACTGGTCTGAAATGGAACATACTGTTAAGATTTTTCTGTGTTAGAAATAATACAGTGCTGAAACAGAGTTCCTGTTTTCATAGTATAACATGTGTCCTCAGGGCAGAATCCATCAGTAGTATAGCTTAGTGGTTCTCAAAACTTTTTTCTCTGAGCCACAGTTTCAGAATAAAAATTTGCTCACACCACACCATTTTTTTAAATAAGAAATACGTTGGAAAACGAAAAGAAAAAGCTCATAGCAGTGCCTGATTTATGACACAGAGCACAACTACTTTATAATATGATCATGATATTAGGACGTCTAGAGCGTATAAAACAATGCAGCTACATAATAATGTGAATCATTCCCAAAATATAATTATAAATGAGTCTTCTTCAGCACTCTGTTCAAATGGTGATTCTGGGTCATAACTAGAATGGTCCTCAGTATCAGTTGATGCTCTTGCTCTCATTTTGAAAAGATATCTATCCATATTCTGCAAATAAAAAATATTATTTTGATGCTGTACTATACTAATATAATATAATATAATATAATATAATATAATATAATATAATATAATATAATATAATATAATATAATATAATACAATATACTGAAATGTTTCTTTCATGTCCTTGAATCTTCTCACCACATGCCATCCTCTCCTGCCACACCCTTTAAGAACCACTGATATTACTTGATGTAATAATTCAAATACTGCATGTGGACGCAGAGATTGGAAATATTTAGTACTGTTGATGTGAATTCTGTTCTAGGAGGAGGGAATAAATATGGAATTCTATATGCATCATGAGTGCTGTGGGTAATGGGAGAATACTGCAGATGAATGAAATAAGTCTGGATTTACTATCTATCCAACTTTATATATGTATCGTTTATAGTAGCATAGCTAGTTGGGATGCTATGCTTCACCAGTAGTTCTGTCAAGAACTCCCTGGTGACTCTTGATTATCTATAGTTTGGTTCTTTGTACTTGCAGCCTCTGTTGCAGGAGTAGAGCTGGGGCTAGTGGTGGCTGTAGGTATCTGTGAGCCCCAAGGCCAGTGTATCTGTGAAGGGTTCTGAGAAGGCAAATAATATTAGTTGTTCTCCTTGACTTCTGTTTCTGCAAGCTGTCCATTCATCAAAGTTATTCTCCCCCAAAGCCCCACAGAACTTGGGGGTTGAATGATGTTATCCTATGCTGCATGTCTTTATATAGTGAGCTGTGTTCCTTTGCTGGTTCTCTGGGCCAGCCCTATGATGAGGCAGAGTGAGGCAGCTGCCTCAGGTGGCAGGTGCTGAGGAGCAAGGAGTGGACAGAGTGGCAAGTTCCTAAGCTATCCTGCTGCTCTCAAGTGCCGTGGAGGATACTGTCCTTTCACTGGTATTGGGGTAAGATTCAACTACCAGTCCATTTAGTTTCTCTATGTGCCTTTGGAGAGAGAGTCATTTTGTCCTTTGCCTCAGGCAGCAAAATGTATTAAGCCAGCCCCGCTGGTTCTTACATGCATCTGTTACTCTGCCCTGTATGACAACTGATTTTGTAGGCTTCCTGCTCTCTATTGTGGCTGGGGAGAAAGAGAAGAAACAGGAACATTTATTTCAGGTTTTTCATAGTTCTGACAGCTATTTTTCTTCTCTAATATTATACTAGTGGGATGCGGGTGGCGCTGTGGGTTAAACCACAGAGCCTAGGACTTGCCAATCAGAAGGTCAGCGGTTCGAATCCCCGCGACGGGGTGAGCTCCCATTGCTCAGTCCCTGCTCCTGCCAACCTAGCAGTTCGAAAGCACATCAAAGTGCAAGTAGATCAATAGGTACTGCTCCGGCGGAAAGGTAAACGGCGTTTCCGTGCGCTGCTCTGGTTCGCCAGAAGCAGCTTAGTCATGCTGGCCACATGACCCAGAACCTGTACGCCGGCTCCCTCGGCCAATAAAGCGAGATGAGCGCTGCAACCCCAGAGTCAGTCACGACTGGACCTAATGGTCAGGGGTCCCTTTACCTTTACCTTTAATATTATACTGGTACAGGAGGTGGGAGCATGCCCAGGATCGCTGTCGAAATATGGTTTGTTGAATGGTGCTCATCATATAACCAGGGGGACTAAGTAAAGCATAACATAAAGTGGCAGTGAATGATGGGGAATAGTTCAGTGGGGATTTGCAAAGACTGGGATGTAGGCCATGGAAAAAGAGAAAGTAATTCTTCTTTCAAAACACTAAATCTTCTTAAAGTAAATGGGTATCTGACATTAATTATTTGTGAAACTGAATGGAAAACACAGTTCTCCTTATTATCGGTTGTTTATGTATTGAGATTTTAATAAGCTCTCTTTTATTTACAAAGGTAAATGTGATATCCTGCCAGACAGAGCACCTTGGAGCCTCTCAAGTCTGATGAGTTTAGAAGAGATCTACTATGTGTGGGTCTTTTATTTCAGTTATATGTAATAGCTTTGCAGTGGATTAAGGATTACTTTCTATACTAACTGCTCTCATTACGTAGTGCGTGTCTGTTAATGGCAGGAAAAAAGGATTGGAAACATATTTCTCAAGTGACATGAATGTATCTAAGCAGCTTTTCTGCTGGAGTTTATTATAATTGAAGTGTGCTATAGCAGTTGTGATAACCAGAACTGAATGAATGCCACATAGTGCTACTTCACAGTATGTAGTGTTTAATAATTCACATTCATTCTGTGTATTCCATCACTTTCTGCTCACCCAGGTTGTATACTTAATATTGTGCCTTTGTGGTACATGTGTGTACCTGTATATGATACAAAGGCAGATTGCGTACATGAAGAGGCTGGTGTGAGAGGTGTTCCATTTTAGCAAAATTTATATACTACTTACCGAAACAAAAGGCCTCTAAG